CCGGAGGAGAAAATCGATGCAAGATACACAACTCCGGCTTTGACAATTGCGTAGTTGGAGTTGACGTAGCCTATACTGATTTTCTGGGGTGGTCCCACAGCGGGAGGTTGGCAGGAGAAATGCTCCCGTTGACTTCTCTTACTAATCACTACAGGGAGGAGTACTGGTGCCAATGGACACATCCTCAGCATTCAATTTTGCGGGTCTTTACTAGACCCGCTAAATCAAACCCTGGAGGTTCGAGTGCTAGAGCGTCTATCCTCTGGCAAGCAGAGACGTGGCCTCAGGTTTTAATCAGCAATAAGGTAAAGATAATTTGAACACTGTGGGGGCTGGGGTAGAAGTAGTTACAATGACTTGGCAGCCTCACACAGAGAACCAATTTTGTGATCTGAAGTTCCAGAAGCAGCATGGCCTTAGCAGCTAGAGCAGGGGCAGCCAACCCATTAAATGAAGAGAACCGAAACAGCGGTGGAAAAAATGCAAAGAGCCGCCCCAGAATTGTTGAGGGGGGAAAAAAAAAAGACAGTGCCCCTTTAAAAACCACGGGCTAGGCTTTTTGGCTGCAGCAGGCTCCCGCCGGCCGACACCATCTTGCCAATGCTATTTTGCCATGCTGGACGGCTCCCCTGCACCCGGTGAGCACAGGGAGCCGGAGGCAGTTTCTAGGGGCACATGGGGCAGCTTCATGAGCCGCACTTTCAGGGGTGAAGAGCTGCATGCGGCTTGTGAGCTGTGGGTTGGCCACCCCTGAGCTAGGGCATGAGCCTGGGGACCAGGAGATAAGGGTCCAACTGTCCATTGACCTGCTCTAGGACCTAGGGTCAATCCCTTCTCAGTCCTCTCTCACCTCTTGTCTACTTAGTCTGTGGAAATGTAACCCACACACCTGCTGGCTGTGGTCACGGCCCCATGAAGTGGCACTTACACAGAGAGACAATGAGTTTTCTCTACACACTTACCTGCGAGCCAGCTGGCTTTTAGCTCAAGCTGGAGAGGCTCCTGCACTACGCTCCTGAGGTCCCAGGTTTGGTTCTACCAGTCGGCGTTACAGGAGCGCGCTCTGTGTCTGAACAGCATCTAGCACTACAGGGACTGATGTTTCAAGTCAAATCCAAAGGACTCATTTCACTCTCACACAGGTACTTCCCCGGCTCCCAATGAAGTCTATGATAAAATTACATGGGGGGGGGGAGGAAGCAACCCCTCCTCTCACACGTGGAATGGCTACAGCATCGGGCCCATAATGACACACAAGGACAAGAAGTGCGAGCTGCACGTCACAGTTGTTATTTATAACCAGCAACAACAAGAGCAGACCTCAAGGAAGAGAATCACAGAAGTGCTAAGAGCAAAAGCCGTTTATTGAAATGAAAAGGATGTAAAGTTAATGCACACTCAAGGCTGATCACGCAGGAGGGATATTCTTTTCCGTTAGTTTTCTGAGAAGAGGGGGCCATAATTTCGGATCCTTTGAATAGTCTGTTTTTCTCGTTCCAAAGGGCGTTTCTTGAATACCTCAGGAAGATTTTGTTTTTCTCTGCTGGAGTAGCATAAAAATAGATCTGTTGGCTCATATTATATACATATGCATGGACTGTATTTCTTTTGTGGGAAAATATCACTATGTCAAGTATTTAAAATTAAGTATCATTACACTTATTTTCTTTATCATACTGCAAACCTCTCTGTACAGTAATCGGACTCTTTCTCTGAAGTCGTCAAGTCTTCTACTTATTGGCAATAATTTTAGGCACAGAGGCAACATATGGCTTATATGCCAGTCTGCTCCTAATTTTGGATAGTTAAGGACCTACACATGAGCATCTGTGGCTCTGAATAGCCTTAGTGGTTTAGGGCCACTTTCAGACAATAAATGCTAGGTACTCTGAGAACTAACTAACCTGGGCATATCACACAAAAGACAACAAAACGACAATCAGTGATATTTACTACAATATCCAAAGCTCTAATCTGTGGAATCAGTTCACGATAACGTCTCTCATGAATGTTGAAGTCTGGCTGTGAACAGACCCGGGTAACATGAGATGACAGGTCAGTTATTACCTTAAAAAGAAGTTGCCATACGACACAGCTGACAAGAAAACCAGTCACGCACGTCAGAAAGTGACCACTGCGAATACCTGAGGAGTTACTTTTCCACACATTGCTCTACAGTCACATTCCACCAAGTCAGAGAACTGTCGCACACCAAAAAGCTTCACCAAAACAATGTCTGCACTGTTCAACCTCCGAGCTCACTGACAGAAACAAACATGGCCTACATTTTAGAGACTGGTAAAATGTGTTTTTAAAAACAAAAAACCAGCAACAATCTTACCCAACAGTAGAACTAAAAATTAGTTTAGTGCAACAGAGAACTCTTTTCATCAAAGTGCAAGATTTGTGATATCAATGCCACATCTTCAACAGCATAGCCTTTGCTGAGGTTAAAAAGTAGGGCTTTTTACAGCAAAACGTGAGTTCTGTATTCAATTTAAAAGACTGCTACAAAAGAAAGATATTTCCAAGCCTGTATAGCTGGACTTCTCTGCCTTTTTGCAGCCGTAATCTTTCCAGGGAAACATGATAGCAACACGGATAGGCCCTGACATTTGGAAACACTGATGAAGTAAAGAACACAAACGACTCAGCCATTCTGACATAATAGTACCAATGAGACGCTGTGTACATAGCTCAAGGGTTTTTTTTACAAATACGTAACAGAGAGGTTGTGAAGAATTAAAAGTGGCTTCCCACAGCTGCTGCCTCCCTACTAGACTGTTGTAGATGGAGGAGTAAATACTCAGATCGGTGATATCCTTGTGGAAAACAAACTCCATGGGAAGTTCCTTCTCGCTCCTGGCTCACCCATCTGTCACAATCATTCATGTGACAGGAATAAAAGGAAAGACGACACACAAAAACGGCTCCCTGTTTTCCATAATGTAAGCACAGCCTTTTCTCCACATGGTCTAGCGATTAATCCTGGTTTGGCCAATAGAAGCATCCACTCTTAAAGGTAAAAGCCA